CTGAAAAAGAGATAAATATCTTTATTTTCTGACTTCCACAATAATTACTTAGAAGAAATCCTTCTAAGAGAAAGTCATGAGTATTTATTAAGTGTTGAAATGGGATATCACCCACTATGAACATATTATTCCCTGAAATTACAAGTGTGTGTAAAATACTCTTTGCAGTTTTTATTTGCCCATTTCACCCACAGCAAGCATCTTTTGTGCATATTAGCAATTTTCTATTGTTTATTCTTTGGGTTTCTTCTATCTTATACTATGTTCTAAAGTCTCATAATATGACATAAACACGTAGGTGATATTAATATATGCATGCATGTTTGACTATTGAATAACACTTTTGGCTTAGTAAGCCTTCAGAATGAGCCATAATGTTTTCATGTCATCATTATTAAGTATAAAAATCTATATGTAAAAAATAAAGCATGTATAATAATAATGAAGCACATATAATAATAGTAATAATATTAATCAAATACCACATCTGATTTCTTTTTCTTTCTAAACTGAGTGAAGGTGACCATTCTTACTATGCAAACTAAAGGGGATACAAAAATTTTAATTTATGGATTATATTGTGTACAGGAAAATTTTATTAAAAGTACATTAGAACTTTTAACAATTAATATTTTGGAGGTTATAAATTCAGTCATAGCCCATGGAATCTGATTCTATTTCTAACCCTTACCTTTATCTGCCATGACCATAGTTTATTTTTAATTATAAAACTAAGGTTAACAAATATGATTGTGGCTGGGAGCAGTGGCTCACTCCTGTCATCCCAGCACTTTGGGAGCCAAGGTGAGTGGATTACCCGAGGTCAGGAGTAGGAGACCAGCCTGGGCAACATAATGAAACCCCATCTCCACTAAAAATACAAAAAAATTAACCAGGCGTGGTGGTGGGCGCCTGTAATCCAAGCTACTTGAGAGGCTGAAGCAGGAGAATTGCTTGAACCCAGGAGGTGGAGGTTGCAGTGAGCTGAGATCATGCCACTGTACTCCAGCCTGGGAGACAGAGTAAGACTCCGTTTCAATATATGTCTCTGTGTGTGTGTGTGTGTGTGTGTGTGTGTGTGTGAGATTAAATAAACTTAAAAGGTCTTATGCAAACCTAGGTGAAAATGTTTTTCTGAGGCAAGCTGAACACTGAGTATTTTTTAATTCTATGCAACAAAACCACAAAAACCTGCTATAGACATCTTTAGACTATCAGAGTTTAAGTTTAAAACACTAATGACAGTTTTTAAAATAAATTTTATATAAAGCAAGATCAAACCAAATTGTGTGAAAATTTTCTTACCTCAGCTGTTAACTTCTTTTGCAGAATGCTAAATTCTTGTTCTAACTGCACATTTTGGTGATTTGGCTAAGAAAGGAAAATGGGTGGTTCAATTCAGATTTAAAATGTTCCTCTAGCAAACTGAAATAGCTTCTGTAGAAAAAGAGGAAGTTTATCAATAGCTGGTTCCGGAAGTGCAATAAACCACAAAGTGACTAAGAAATATATTACTTTAACAGAATTTATTTTGAAATACATTTTCGAGCCCTATGATTTGAGTGCTTTTAATTAATATATGTAAATAAATATTTGAGATGCTCTAGTAATATGATTATATAAATTAAATATTTAGGGTGGGGTCCTGAAGAGAAAATTACATGTTCTAAGAAGAAAAGCTGCCAGTTGGGTTATAGTGAGATTTCTTCTCATAAGAAATGAGTGATGTGTTCTGTTTACTTGTATGACCTTAGGCAAGACTCTGTACTTCTGAGTCACCATTTCTTCTTCTAAAGGAATATTTTATTGGGTTATTGTGAGGATTAAATAAGATAGCATAATATAACATGTATAAATGCCTCACCCACTGTAGGTAACCACTAAATGTAATGTTATTTCCTCATAGTGTAAAAAGTCCAGGGTAAAAGTATAATTACATTATTTTGCAAATGACAGGACTTCATTCTTTTTTATGGCTGAATAATACTCCATTGTGTATATGTACCATATTTTCTTTATCCACTCATCTCTTTATGGACACTTAGGTTGCCTCTAAATCTTGGCTGTTGTGAATAGTGTTACAACAAATATGGGAGTGCAGGTATCTCTTTGTACTGTTTTCCTTTCTTTTGGGTATATACTAGCAGTGGGATTGCTGGATCATATGGTAGCTCTATTTTTAGTTTTTTGAGGAACCACAAATTGTTCTCCATAGTGGTTGTACTAATTTACATCCCACCAACAGTGTACGAGAGTTCCGTTTTCTCTACATCCTTGTCAGCACTTGTTATTGCCTGTCTTTTGGGTTAAGCCATTTTAACTGGGGTGAGATGATGTCTCCTTGTAGTTTTGATTTGCATTTCTCTCATCAGTGATGTTGAGTACCTTTTCATATGCCTGTTTGCCATTTGTATATCTGTAATTAAATTATTTTGACCAAATATTTTACTGATGACTTTTGAGTTCAAGTTCACAACCATTTATTTGGTTGCCCACACAGTAGTTACTTCTCAGTGGAAAATAAAATAAATTGGGGATCATTTTTTAAATAAGAATTTAACTAAAGTTAACTTGTTACTAAAGGGTAGTGAGGAGATGGGGAGATGGTGTTACCAGTTAATGGGTACAAAAAACAATAGAAAGAATGAATAAGACCTATTTGATAGCACAACAGGGTGACTATCATTAATAATTATACATTTTTAAATAACTAAAAGTGTAATTGGATCCTTTGTAACACAAACGATAAGTGCTTGAGGGGATGGGTACCCCATTCTCCATGATGTGATTATTTCACATTACATGACTGTATCAAAACATCTCATTACCCTTTAAATATATACACCTACTATGTACCCACAAAAATTTAAAATACAAAAAATTTTGAAGTTAACTAAACAAAGTATATTGAAAAGAGTGAGTCCATCTGAATAAAAATTTCTTTGGGTAAGTCACCTTTCCTCTCTTGAGAAATGGAGATCATAATTCGTAATTTATAAGCTTATGGTGGAATTAAATAAATGTAATGTGCCTTGCATGGTGCATATTATAGTAGATATGGAATGTGTTAACCCATGCACTGCTTTTTCCTGGTCACTGCAGGAAACACAGGTTATTATGACCTGGTTCTTAACTTCAAGGTATTTACAGCTTGGTGCAAAAAGAATAGATTTTTTTTTTTAACGGGCTCCTACTATAAAGCATAATATACTCAAATGCTATATAAAGCTTTTGATTCACTGATTTTTGGAAGTATTGTTGTTTTTAGAGACAGGGTATTGCTGTGTTGCCCAGGCTGGTCTCGAACTCCTGACTTCAAGCAATCCCCCTGCCTCAGCCTCTTGAGTAGCTGGGACTACAGGCACATGCTACTGTGCTGGCTGGCTGACTTATTTATTTATTGTAAAGATGAGGCTGTTGCTTTGTTGTGCAGGCTGGCCTTGAACTCCTGGCCTCGGGTGATCCTCCCACCTTGGCCTCTGAAGTGTTAGGATTATAGGTGTAAGCCACTGTGCCTGACCTGATTCACTATTTTTAAATCTCTGAATTAAGCTGGTGAACTGTAATACCCAGGGATAGGGAGTGTGTTTTTGTTCAAAACTAAATGTCTCTTAAATTTTGAACTCAAAGGTATCTTACCTACCATTTTTAAATACCTGTCATTTGGAAAGGAACCACTTCTGTTTGTTCAGTAACTATCATTGGATAGTATCATTCTGAGAGTATATGTTTAGTAGCCAAGATAGTAAGTAGTGAATTTTAAATATTCTTTTAAATATCCCTGTGGTAGAAGCTGTCTGGTGAGAAAATGTTTGACTAGTATGTTGAATATGAAAGTAATTTCCTAGTTTTATAATGATACTAATTTATTTTAATTTTCTCTGACAAGTATTTATTTAATGACCCTTGAGTCAAGGATGCTTTGTGTTATTACTGGATGTGTTGGTGCACAATCTCAAATTTTCAATTTTTGCACAGAATGGAAAGTCTGTCCAGTTTCATTTCTAATCTGGGTCATTTTTCCGCTCAAAAGATAACCTGATTTCAGTCACCATGACTGGCATGAATATTCTTATGCTTTCTTTTTTACTTTGTTGACACTTAACTTTGTCCGGAATAATATTTTTATGATTTCTTGTTTAGAGAATAGATTTGGTTTTTACAAATTGCTAATAAATTGATGATAAAAATGATGCTTTATTTTTTTTCTCTCATTTTAATAATACCTAGACGTTTAAATTTGATGACCAAGAGCAGCTATCACCTTGAGAGTTATGTAAAAATTACCAGTGCCTAGAGTTCACCCCATTCCAGTTGCATCAGAAGGAAGACATAGGGATTAAGCATTGGTGTTTTTAAAAAACTTTTCAGGTGATTCTGACATGCAGCCAGGGTAAGAATCACTAGCTTAGAAGGGAGAGTAAGGTTGTAGTCATACTTGGGAAAAAAATGTATAAAAAATATTTTTTTAAATGGTTAGTATATTGGCCAAAATAAATGCCCAATAAGGGATGAGTTTTTTGAAATGTGGCCTGATCTTAGCCCTGTGTTAATTTCAGTAGATATTTGGAAAGTCTGTCAAACCAATTTTTGTAATATATTTAATTGAAGATGGGGGGGTCTCAACTTAAATGTAAGTCATTATTTTACTTGAAGCCAGTTTATTGAAAGGTTAAATAATAACCTGAAGTATCCAGTTTTCCAAATTTGAACATACACACACACACACACACACACACACGCACCCCCCAAATCAATCATTAGGCTACTTGGCATCCTTGAAGTCCAAATATTAATCAACCCTTGAGTACTTGTTGTTAATGTTCCAGTAAGTAGTATTTATAGAAAAGATGAATATTATTAATCTTAAACAGTAAAACATACTTTACATTTACACTTAGCCTATTGGTGTGGGTATAAATCTTATTTATTTTAGTCGTGCTCTGTTTCTTACTGATCTTTACAACGTGTTCTCTAAAGTAATAAAGTGAATGGAAATATACATAGTCACAGGTTTATTCTGAGTTTTAATTTATTATACAAAATTAAAGGTTTTAATTTAATATTAATAGTAGAAAAACACTTTCTTACGTGTGCCATATGAAAGATAAAAGCATCTAGGCTAAAATTAGCTGTGTTGATTGATAAGCTGGTGTGGATTCTGCCACATCCAGCAAAGAAGGTACCATTAAATTGCACAGTTTAGCTCTATCTTTGCATTAGGAATTTGACTTCCATTTGATGTTAAAGCATATACTTGGCTTTAAGGACACTAAAACTCTTCAAAGTTTAATTACATTCAGACAAAGGTCATCTAACCACTATTGCTACATAGGGAATATTTATTCAGTTATCTCTTTCTATCTCTGTTAATCAGTTTCCTCAATTTATTCTTAAAACTTTGCTCAAATGCTTAGTTATTTTATTATTTGCTGTTTAAAATATTCAGTGTCAAAACAAAAGTACACAGTTTAAGTAATTAAGCAGGCATACTTCTTTCTGTCTCACCCACTTGATTCCAAATTACAAGGTCTACCATGTCAAATTTTAGATCATCAGAACAACACTTTGAGATTAAATACCAACTGACTTCATTTTTACTCCATAACCCTTCTCATTGCTACTTTGCATTTTTCTTCACTAACCCATCTGTTCGTTAGTAAGTTTTTCAGTTCCTTCTTCATCTTTTCTTTCTCTTGTAGCTGTGAGCACTCCAGTAGATTGCATCACTAGGTTGGGTCCTGTGAGCTGTTTTGTTCTTTTCCAAGTGTCTGATTCAGCGGGCCATAGACCGCTTGCCAGAAAATCACCATTGCTTCTAGGCTGACGCTTGCCTGCTTGTTTTGATCGTCTGAGAGATGAGACTTTGTTTGCCAAAACCACAGTTGATAGAAATAGAAAGGTACAGATAAGAAAAAGCACTGCAATTATAATTAAGCAAATTAGCATAGCCATGTTGTTGTTGTTTTCCGCACAGACATCCTTTTTGAAAATTTCACCATGACTTTTACTTGTGCTTTCAATGCTCTGTACTGTTGAAGGACTGTTGCTGACGACAGAAGGTATATAAAGCTCCTGTTCAGATTTAGAAGTTAAAGATACGATGTGAGATGTTTCAGGCATGTTTGTAGAATTACCTTTATAATCTGTTTCAGGAGTTATAGGGTTTGTGTTAATGTTTTCATTTTGGCTTCTGCCTGTCTTATTTTGAATAACTGAATCCCAGGAAGTAGTACTGTTAGCCCACAGATGGGTATAGTTTGCTTTTGTTCCAGGAGACAAAGAAAAAACTGTTGTCATCAGAAAGGCAAGATGTAGGTAATGTCCTGTGTGTTCCATGTCCATGGGCATACTGGTAATCTGTTGGGATAGGAATATAATTTGTTAGTTTGTGAAAGAATAATGGATCCTAGTTTTGGTAACTGTAGTTAAAAGATAGTGTTGAGATGTTATGGGTAAACTATAAGCTTATGCCTAATATTCACTACCCTGAATTCATTCTCAACTGAATTTCTTTCCTATTCAGCTATGTGTGAAGAAGCATTTTACTTTCTATTATACTTTTAGATGCTAGAAGTTAGCATTACAAATAAATATTAATCATTTTAAGTGGAATATCATGACTTTATATGGTTTTCTCCCTTTGAAGCATGTTAGACTTCTGCTTTGAGTCGGTCAGTTCTGCTTTTACTTCTCTGATTCCTTCTTTAAAAAAAAAAAAATTAAGGATCATTCTTGCAGAAACTACCCACCCTCTAACCTGTCACCAATCTTTACAGAAGAAATGTGACCTTGACCTTCTTGCTTCATGTATGAAATAAAAATGCAAATTTTTTTTGGTGGAAAGAGGGGAAGTTTGGTAGCAACCAAAAGAAACTGAACTTCTAATAGAAATTCAAGGTGTTCTTTTTCCTTCTTGGGTGTTCATCTTGAAGCTTAGAATAAAGCTGGTACTTAGAAACATATTTGTAAGTATATTTGTGAACACAGTTTTACTGTGGTGGTTGTCTCTTTTCATTTCTATTTCCCCGGACTGACTATATCTTTCTGAAGGCAAAGGCATATTGGTTTTCTCAACCTAAAAATCTGAAAAAAAGCAGAAGATTTCCTCTGAATAGACTTAAAAGTTCAATAGAAGTTGTCGGGTTTTCTTTTAAAACATCATTTATACTTAGCATTTTTTCTGATTTGACATAATTGTAAAAAAACAAAACAAAAAAAAATATGTAATAAAATAGAAATAGAGCATCAGGATCTTGATTTGGGATGAAGTGGCAGATTCTAAGCATCTCAACATATAATTGAAAAAGTTGAATTTCCACTTTGGCCCTGAGCTTGTTGGAAACCAGAACAAAAAGGAGACAAGTTATATTATAAATTTTTATTATCTACCGTATAATTGATTTAAATAGAAATGGCATATCTTAGAATTTAACAGTTTCATGTACCGCTAACCCAGCAGGAAAGATTTATAATCATTATTGAGGTATCTTATAATAATATACCTGTTTGTCTTGAGCTACTTTTGAAAGGAGTATTTTACTGTTAGCATTTATTTGAATGAACTAAAAGCAAAACTGTATTGTTCTCCTGAGGTTTACTAAATGAAATTGCCTGGTTAAGAACCCTGTGTGTGCTATAGAAATTCTTCTCAAATGTACATAGGAGTCCTTTTTTTAAAAAAAAGAAAAAAGCAGATTCTTACCTAGCTAGTATAGGTAGGGCCTGAAGTCTTTGTTTCCAAACCAACTCCTAAGCAACATGGATGCTACTGCTAGTCGGGCTTTTGAACATCAAGGTTTTATAAGAAATGGTTGTTATATGTCATTGGCTAACATTTGTATACTATTAAAATAAAGAAATTGAAAATAAGAAATGTGATATGTTGAGTTATACAAACAAAAGTAGCATGTAATAAACAATGCTAACTGGAGACTATATTTCATATTAATAGTAGGAAGGAAAAACTCTATTATTAAATATTCTAGGATTAAGATTACTTTTTAGATTATGACCTTTAGTAGACAGTTAAAGGCAAAAGTCACTGGCTTTTATATAATAGTGTTCATCTTTAATTTTTAAGTTTAGTGACATAAATCTTTGGATATTTCATGATTATTTCACAAAAAGAAATACTTGAAATTGGATTAGCAAGTAATTTCCTTCTTTTTATACTAGACTGGACTTCTGTATTAGATGCTATAATGATTTAAAGTGGATTATTCTTGTCACATTAGTTCATTAACAGTGTAGTATACATCATAGTATTGGTACACATTTTAACAGTGCTTACCACGGGACAGATAATAGGCCTGCTGTTGATTGTCTTCAGCCAGATGTACTGCAATGCCCAAATAAACAAACTGTATGACAAAATGAGACTTTCTCTTGCCCTTACAAATGCCTGAGAATTGAGGACTGTTTTTACACCAGTTTATGCCTTGGAGGCCAGGTTGTGTTATCAAAAGTTTTCTTATCTCTGATCATTTTCGGTAGAATTTATTTTCAGTAGAATTTGTAATGTCCAAGCATTAGTGAAGAGAAATTTATTTTTTAACTTTTGAAAAATAACAAAACATGTGCGGTTTACTTGTGAAATCCAAACTTAAATCTTTCCTAGTCCTAATTTAAAACTCCATGGCGATGGTAAATTTTTTCATTTCTAACTTAAAATTTATGTAATAGGACAGAAAAAAAAGTATACATTTTCAGTCACTTACGATTCTAGTTTGTTAGTGAGATTCTTATACATTTTAATAGCATTTCCTCGAACACTAATCTGTCAAAAGTTAGAAGTGAAAAGGCATAAGAAAAGCCATATATATATATATATGACCTACCTTACAAAATGCTTGGTCAAAATCTGATTATAACGTGATTTTGATAAACCACTTCTTTTCTTGTCTTCTTATTTAAAGCAGAATAGACTTGGAGAATATGAGCCTTAAAGTAAATCTGCAGTAAAAAAAAGGATATGTGCAGCTAGTTTTCCACTTTTAAAACCAAACCACAGATGACACATTTCCTTTCCACTGCAACTAAAGCACATGTCACGGGGGGGAAAAAAAACGAAAAAACTCCAACTCGTCTAGTTGGCCACTGGCATGACAGGAGGCTTTGTAGAACAAATCCCCGCCTCCAGAACAGGGAGGGTTTTCCACTTAATGCCGTTTGACAGTATGCTCATTCTATAGGCCTGCTACATGCTTTAGTGTCATTCAAAAGAGGTTTTGAAATGGTATCTTCCATCTCAAATCTTCTCTAAAAGACGTATTTGAAATCTACAGACTGATTTGAAAATGTGAGTTTGGAGTCCATGGGATGCTGGTCAGATAATATACAATTGTGGAACTGCAACAATTATTTGAGAAAATATCTAGTAAGCTTAGATTATATGGGACAGAAAATGCTTTTGTGTGGTGTAGTGTGTGTATACACACACACACACACACACACAACTGTCAAACATCCTGTCATCACCTCAAGTTTAACATGTCTGAAACAGACTTTAAAAATTGGGTATGGGCTGGACACGGTGGCTCATGCCTGTAATCCCAGCACTTTGGGAGGGTGAGGCAGGCAGATCACTTGAGGCCAGGAGTTCAAGACCAGCCTGGCTGACATAGAGAAAACCTGTCTCTACTAAAAATACAAAAATTAGCTGGGCCGGGTGGCGTGCACCTATAGTCCCAGCTACTTGGGAGGCTGAGACGGGAGAATTGCTTGAACCCAGGAGGTGGAGGCTGCAGAGATCATGAGATCTCGGCTGCATGAGCTGAGATCATGCCATTGCACTCCAACCTGGGTGACAGAGTAAGACTCTGTCTCAGAAAAACAAAACAAAACAAAACAAAACTGGGTATGGCAGCACCTATCTGTAATCCCAGCAACTAGGGAGGCTGAGGTAGGAGGATCACTGGAGCCCAGGAGTTCAAATCCAGCCTGGGTAACATAGCAAGACTCCATCTCTTAAAAATTAATTAAATTAATAAAATAAAAAGAACTTTATTTTTTCTTTAAAAGAGACTGCCTGTCACAGTCTTCTTGTTTCTGTGCATGATAGCAACATTCTAATATCAGAGGCTTAGTATACAACACACCATTTTAATTCAAGTCTTCTCAGTCCTGATCAGACTTTGAATCATGTTGGTCCTTCCTTCATATTCTTGGATCAGTTTCTTTTTCCCTGTCTTTACTGTCTACAGTAGTATTTTAGATCCTTATCAGGTCATACCTAGACTCTACAGTACCTTTTCGGTAGCCCTGACTCCTTCATATATCTTGTATACATCACTTTCTTTGGTCATATCACCCCTTTCTTTAAGGGAAAATAAAACCGGTTGAACATTCCCTAATACTTACAGTAATGATTCAGAAATGTTTGTGTACTTAAACATCAGATGAGAGGATTGTTTAAAAACAATAAAAGCAGGACATGGTGGCTCACACCTGTAATCTCAGCACTTTGGGAGGCTGAGGTGAGAGGATTACTTGAGCCACAGAAGTTCGAGACCAGCCTGGGCAGCATGGCAAAATCCTGTCTCTACAGAAAAAAAAAAAAAAAAAACACTAGCTGGTCATGGTGGTACTTATCTGTAGTCCCAGCTACTCAGGAGGCTGAGGTGGGAGGATCACCTGAGCCTGGGGAGGTCAAGGCTACAGTGAGCCGTGAGCCGTGACCATGCCATTGCAGTCCAGCCTGAGTTAAGAAAAAAAGAAAAAAAAAAAAAAACCATGATAAAAATTTCCAGGCCCCACTACATAGATTCATATTTAGTAGGTCCAGGTTGGGACCAGAAAACTGCGTTTTTATCAAGCACCACAGGTGATTCTGATGCCAGTAGTCCACAGAACATATGCTGAGAAATGATGAGCCCCTAGGAGAAAACCTAAGCCCTTTGGTTGAGCAGTTATGGTCTCTTCACAATTTGACTATACTGTATTTTCCCAGCTTTATCTCTCAAAACTTCCCTACCTGAATCCTCCATTCTGGCTAGACTAGCTGTCTCTTCAACACATCTAGTTACCGGTTTCTTTTCCTTTTTGTCTTTCTCCATAAGGCGTGCCCAATCCTCTTGCTGAGGTCTGCATTCCTCCTTACCCGATTCAGCCACTGTATCTTCTATGTAGCTTTCACTGACTGCCCAGTTTGTGTTTATCTCTCTCTCTCTCTTTTGTCTTAATAACAGTATTTTCTCTGCAGTTCTTTGACAAGTGATTACATTCTACTTCATATCGTTTATCTTGAAATATTTGACTTGTTTTAAAATCATTTGACTTGTCATATTTTTATCTTATTTTCTCCCAACAAGATTAAAAACTCTGAGGTGCAGTTTTTTATTGATACATGATAATTTGTACATATTAATGGGGTATGTGTGATTTTTTTTGTTTTGTTTTGTTTTTGCTTTTTTTTTGTTGGAGTCTCGCTCTATCGCCCAAGCTGGAGTAGAGTGGCGCAATCTCAGCTCACTGCAAACTCTGCTTCCCGGGTTCAAGCAATTCTCTTGCCTCAGCCTCCCAAGTAGCTGGGACTACAGGCACGTGCCACCACACCCAGCTAATTTTTGTATTTTTAGTAGAGACGGGGTTTCGCCATGTTGGCCAGGCTAGTCCTGACCTCCTGACCTCAGGTGATCTGCCTGTCTTGGCCTCCCAAAGTGCTGGGATTACGGGCGTGAGCCACCATGCCCTGCCTATATGTGTGATATTTTGATACATGCATATAGTGTGTAATGATTAAATCAGGGTGATTAGGATATCCATTGCCTCAAAGAAAATAAATTGTTTCATCTAGCTGTTTTGAAATATACAACGTTACTATTAACTAGTCACCTTACTATGAATAGTAGAACTTGTTCCTTCTATCTAATTATAATAATACATATATTATTTTTTTTATTTTAAGACAGTCTCACTGTTGCCCAGGCTGAAGTGCAGTGGTATAGTCTCAACTCACTGCAGCCTCTGCCTCCCAGGTCCAAGTGATTCTCGTGCCTCAGCCTCCCAAGTAGCTGGGATTACAGACATGCACCACCATTCCTGGCTAATTTTTGTATTTTTAGTAGAGACAGGGTTCTGCCATGTTGGCCAGGCTGGTCTCAAACTCCTGGCCTTATGTAACCCACCGGCCTCAGCCTCCCAGAGTGCTGGGAATACAGGCGTGGGCCACTGTGCCAAGCCCTAATTATATTTTTATATCCATTAACCAACCTCTGAGGTAAAGATATTTATTTTAACTTACTTAGTAGTATTATCACCAGAATCATCACATACAGAAAACTTTGAGCCTAAGTTAATATAGATTCTTTTGATTTGAAACTTTGGTGCCATTACTTCAGGGCTTTTTCATGGTCATCACTGTGGCTGCTCACATTTATTAGTATTCTTTTGGTTTTAAGCAACATATGACCTAATATGGCTTAATCAACACACGGTATTTATTGGCTTATATAACTAAGTAGTCCTGGGATAAATTTGACCCCAGGAGAGGCTTTATCTAAGACACAAATGATATGGCCAAAGCTCCAGTTTGTCTTTTTATTTCTCAGCTCTTTCTCTTCAGTCTTTTGGGAAACTCTTCTTTTATATCCCAAAATATGAGCTAGCAACTCCTAGGGCTATGTATTCCCTTGTTTATAAACACCAGGAAAGAAATATCTCAAATCCCAACAATTTAAGCTAAAGTACCTGAACTGGGCCTCTTTGGCCCTGGTTGTCCTGGTTTGAATCATGTGTTCATTGCTGAATCAGTCTGTGATCAAGGTGGGATAAATGGATTGGCTAAAACCATCTCACTCCAGAGCTCCAGATGGGTCATTCCTACCAGACTGTTTGCCTAAGGAGTTTGGTGGGCCTGCAGGCAACCTACTAATTCCCACTGTTTTCTTCCCTTCTTGACTAATGAGCACATTTGTTATTGTTGTTGTTGCTCAAAATTTTTGAATTGGAGATTTGTCTCTTCTCTTAGCCTTATTTCTCAGTGTTCAAAAAACAACTGATTTTAAAAATGAATCCAGACTTTGAAGAATTGTTTTATATTATTCTCTCTAGAAAATGAATCATAAAATAAAATCGATGAGTGGCATCTGTATATTTATTTAAAACACTGTTAATAATCTTTGTCTGTTTTGTCATTTTCCTTAGGTTCAAAACTGGTCAAATCAATGGTGATTTGCTGATATACCATGTCTTACTGACTTTAAAGCCATATTATGCAAAGCCATATGAAATTGTAGTGGACCTTACCCATACCGGGCCTAGCAATCGCTTTAAAACAGACTTTCTCTCTAAGTGGTTTGTTGTTTTTCCTGGCTTTGCTTACGACAACGTCTCCGCAGTCTATATCTATAACTGTAACTCCTGGGTCAGGGAGTACACCAAGTACCATGAGCGGCTGCTGACTGGCCTCAAAGGTAGCAAAAGGCTTGTTTTCATAGACTGTCCTGGGAAACTGGCTGAGCACATAGAGCACGAACAACAGAAACTACCTGCTGCCACCTTGGCTTTAGAAGAGGACCTGAAGGTATTCCACAATGCTCTCAAGCTAGCTCACAAAGATACCAAAGTTTCTATTAAAGTAAGTTTTAGTCTGTGTTTTGTAAATGATTCATTGCTTTTCTTGACTGACTAGACTATATCCTGGCCTCCCTAGGTGTCCTACCCCCATAGTGGTGTATAAAATGTCACGTAAGGCCATTGCGATGGCTCACGCCTGAATCCAAGCACTTTGGGATGTCAAGGTGGGCGGATTGCCTAAGGTCAGGAGTTCAAGACCAGCCTGGCCAACACGGTGAAACCCCGTCTCTACTAAAATACAAACATTAGCTGGGCATGGTGGTGGGCACCTGTAATCTCAGTTACATGGGAGGCTGAGGCAGAAGAATCGCTTGAACCTGGGAGGTGGAGGTTGCAGTGAGCCAAGATTGTGCCACTGCACCCCAGCCTGGGCAACAAAGGGAGACTCTGTCTCAAAAAATAAAAGGTTATGTAAATCTAGATGTAGGAAGACCAACATTTGTGTCATCATGGAGGTCCTGTGGAGGATATGAGACGTATACATTTTATTCTAGGTTAGGCTGGAAGTAGAAGAGCGTTTTGGAGAGGGCAGTTTGTTACGTCATTCAAATCGTAGGAATGTGTGGAGAGTAGAAATTACCTAATGAGAGTTCTTCTGATTATTGCATGCTTTTTGCAGAGTGAGGAACATGAACTTTCAGGATAAA